TTAAAAAAATAGTCAAAGTGTTTTTTCCAATTTTGATCTTTTGACCTATTGGAATTTCCAAATCCTTTGTCATATTTCTACAACTCTCTGCGAGCCTTGTGGGTTAAACCTATATCATTAACTATTCTATATCCACCATATTTTCTCTCTAGGCTAAACCAACAGAGTAAATCTACCAGTAAAACCTACAGAGCACTTTGTGATGAGTTCAAAGCACAGTTAGAGAGACATGTTCTTTCACTTCTGGTTTCTCATGATCAGACCTACTGTGGATTGTAAAGAATAGCAATTGTGTTTAAATCTCTGCTCAGATACAATCACACAATGCAAAAAGTGTTTGGAGAGAAAATGAAGTTAAAAGTCTAATTAAAGCAAGAAATAAATCGGACCATGCAGTATTTGGTGATGCACACTTACTCTGTTGTACAGCTGCGTGTAGATGGTCATAACGAAGATGTAAGAGGCATGGATACAACCCAGAGGGGCCAGGAGCAAAAACAGTGTGAAGGAGGAATGATTTCGATGTCCACAGCAATTGTTTATCCAGGGGCAGTGATGGTCCATCTTCAGTACACACCTAGGATGGAAGTAAAGCAATACGCACAGAGAGAGGGTCTTAGTGTACAGAACAGAAAGAAAGTCAAATAGCAGTGAGCAGAATGCATCCTGGGAAATTTCACAACGGCACAACATCCAACTCACTCATGCAAGTAAAAGCTTTATTTAAACAGTGTAACACTGAACAAGTCAGGGTAACAAGCCTTACAATTTTTAAATAAAGATCACGAAACATGAATACAGTATGGGTTTGAAATATAACCAGAGTATGGAAGGAGGGTTAGGTGTAACATATCCTATTGAAGATTACCACCAGGATCTAGCCAAGACAGCCAGGCTGCTCAGTAAAAATGGAAGGTTGATTGAAATTGGTTTCTCATACATCCTGAAATGTTCAGTCATTTCCATTGTTGTGGGAAAATATTTCTCATTATTTATCAGAGGTATTGCCAAAGAGTGCTTAAAATTTCTCAAAAAGGAAGGTCTCAGAATTGAAGGAAGCTCCATGGACTTCCTGCCAGGGCAGGCTGGGGTGGATTATAGGTACCCGGTGTGTTTAAGACATGGTGGACTCTAGTGTGATGTACTGTCACCATCTTCCAATGCACGCTGGTAATAATATAGGTTTATGAAATAATGGGAAATGGTATGTCAGAACGTCACATGTAGGTGAGGAAACATGTTCCCTGTTTTAACCATTTGCTTGCCAGACATATGTTGCAAGCAAACATTAAGTAGACACATGGAGCAATACACAGCCATACCTGTTGCACTTGCGGCAGTGGTGGGAGCGGGGGGCTTTGTAGGCCTCGCACACTTTGCAATACTGCAGGTACATACAGTCATGAATATTCCCCTGAAGATAAATAAAACAAGGGCGTTAAACTGAAAATAAGGAAATCTACATAAATATAGCATTTTAGTTCACAATCACATTCTGAATGTATCCCTGAGTTGGCTTAGAAGATTATAAAATATATTTGTCAGGCGTAGAGGAAACATTCATCTGCACTATAATTATAATGGAAGAACCGCACCCAGAGGGCCAATGAATGATCCATCCCCTTTCGGCTGAATGAATAAATTATACATTTTTCATTTTATATTTCTAAATATGGAGTCAATCATATTAATCCCCTAATTACACCATTCATAGCAGAATTTTACAATTATTGTGTGCATTTCTCCTCTTTACAGCTCTGTGATAGGAGATGGAACCTGAGAAATCAAAGAGTTATGGCTGATTGAAGACCAAGTCTTACACCGCCGAAGAAGACAAACAATACGTATTGCTGGGTATCACTGAATCTATGCTTCTAACAATCTAGTAACTAAAATACATTTTGGAAAAGTGAGAGGCAAGCATTACATCATTAGCAATGCTCCTGAAATTCTGAAGTTGCAGAAATTGAATATACTTAACACATTTCCAATGCAATAATTATGAAATTAATTTGTTTAAAATGTTCAATTCAGGCTTTGTGACACAGCTGTGCTTTAACAAAACATTAAAAGAACACTATAGTATTAAGATCACAAATTAATACAACCCCCAGCGACTTTTAAAAGTTACGGCATTCTAAGAAATTAACGACATCCCAAGGCTTTATAATAGAGTGTGCAACAACTAATGTGAAATGTGCAAACGTGAAGGGCACAGGTATTCAAACAGAACACATGCGGAGCTACTCACTAACGTGTTATTTTAAACTATTTGGTAGATATACTATCAAAGAAAATACACATGGATTTTGTTCTGCATGGTTTCTTATACGATGAAACGGTTTGCAAAAGCTGCAGATCTCCGGTCTTTTCAAAGCCTCCCTATTGTCCCAGGCAGAGACTTGCTGTACTGGACTTGTGCGCATGCAACTGTGGCTTTCCTATGTTTCTCAGTGAGCTCTAATACAGCTCACAGAGGAGGGACTCTAGCTCTATGGAGCTAATGGAGGAAAGCCAATGATTTCTATTGATATTAGCACTTATGAACAGTCATGAAAATGACAGCTGAAGTGCTTTGTGGGTGTGAAGAGTTTAATTGCTGGGAACGCAAAGAAAAGGTCACATTTTACGTCCAAATAGAATGAAAACATAGCTGACGAAGAATTTAGGCTTAAATTTACAACAATGAGCATTAAAGCGAATAACCCGATGAGTAATAAATGTGTTAGACTGATCAGAGCCGGTGGAAAACTATCTTCAAACTTTCTCCTATTGTTTCCTCTTCTGTTCTGATCTGTATCTCTTTTAAACACAAGACAAAGCAGAGGCTACTCTGTCTTACCTATTTTTCTTACTCTCAACAATCTCGATGAAGGATATATATCATAGTGACAAAAATAATTTTAAAAAATGATGAGAACGGGCTAAGGCTTAGAGAGACTGCGGTATATTATAGTGGATGTCTTATGGATACATTCATTCTGTAACGGCATCCTGCAGCAGGCTTTAGTGAATCTGACCCGATCTTTCATCCTATATAGGATTTAAACCTGTACGTTGTAACACAAATAATCTCACCATTGGAAATTCTTATTCACATCAATGTGATACTATAAAACAGTAATATTTGAAAAGCAAAACGTGTTCTTATCTGCTTAGATAGGCTGTGTTGAAGTGTCTAAAGAGCTTTGTAATCTTCAACCACACAAGAAAGTGGGGTCTCATTTAAACAGTAAGACTGTAACTGACGGATACCAAGATGTCATTTCGACATTTCTCACTTAGAAAATATAATTAAAATATTGGGGTGAAGGTGAAAAATCATTGCAAGTTGGATATTTATCAAATTAATCTAAACAGCACCGAACTGATTGATTTAAAATCTGAAATTTACTTTGAATTCTCAGCTGTTGATAATTTACAGGGCTAGTCACGAAAGTGAGAATTGCACAATAGCTGAAGCGGGAAATTCTCTAATTTCGCTATGCTTTCAGTTTGGCTACTAAATTCACTTTAGTGAATAACTCTGGTAGCAATAAATGCTGTGTTTCCCTATTCTGCAGCCACTGAGGTACATTAAGAATGTTACACATCTGAATAGCAGGGAAATAAACATTGAGCATTACTTATTGACAGCTTAGATAGACAACCCTGATGCTTGTAAACTACACGTCCTAAGATACTCAGCCAGCAGGCGTAGGCTAAATGTAGCTCACAAACATTAGCAGTGAACGAGATAACTGAGCAATTGGGAAAATTGCAGGTTATTCAAAATCACAGTAGAATTTACAAATAATTGTGGCCATGGGTAGGTTTTCACCCAGCTTTGAGAATATCCCTGCCTTATTCAAGCCTTCAATATTTTCCTTACCGGTTTCCATCCGAGAGGGACAAATCCAGGGCCGATAAACATTGCATTGAAGTAATTGTAAAGAATCATGACCGTCCAGTTAATTAGTGTCAGAAAGTTCAGACTCCCCCCTGATGTATCCAGTGGCCAATACCACAGAATAGAGTCTAGGATTGCCACAATGGAGCAGATTATTATAACACCAAGAGCAATGATGGGGCCCCAGTGACACAGTCTCTTCAGCTCCCGTATGTTGTCAAAACTAATGAAAGAATCCAAGATGCCCATGTTTTCAGAGACGATAATGGCTAGGCCTTGACGCTGCACTCTCACGGTGGTATAGCTTTCATACTATCCAAAGCACAAAGTTGAGTGCATAATAACCGGCACATCCATTCAGCTATGCATTGCAGCTCATCCAAACTGTATTTCATTTGCCGCAACCTGCAAATAGAAATGTGTGTATAACCAATCATTATATTTAATCCACAGTCTATTTCTAACACACAAACACACTGTAATTATTAGTCTTCCCAGTGAGCACACACACAGCTACAACCTACCACTAGATCGCAAGGGTAAAATGAGGCAACACATATTAACATAAACAACCCAAACACCTTGAGATAGATAGAGATTATATATATATATATAAAAAAACGATCACTCTCTACATATCTCAAAACAGAATGCACCGGTCATGGTGGATTATATATTTCATACCTGTTCTATGTTAAATTTTGTATATATTGTGTATTAAAATAGTTTTTGTATTTTATTGTACCCTATTGTATCGATGCAATGTTTTGTGGACCCTGGACATACTTGAAAAGGAGAGAAATCTCAATGTTTCTTTCCTGGTAAAATATTTTATAAATAAATAAATAATATTTTACAAAAAGCAAAGATAAATGAATACAAACAAGGTTATCTGTACAAAACTGTAAACATAACGTGACAGAGTTGTCAGCCAGTTCACTCCCACCACATTACACAAAAACAGGAAAAGACTTGTAGAATCTAAAAAGAAGTGATAAACACTGGAATTAACGCCGCCTATGGCTGCTATATACAGCTTTACATCGTGTACATTTATAACAGGGTGTGGGATGCTTTACTGGGCATTAGCATCAGGGAGGGACCAGGAGTCCTAGATTACAAAGATTAGAAGAGCGCCCTTACTACAAAGTACTCAAAGTTACAAGAGACTGGAGAACCCGGAGGGCGTTTTGGTGTCTCAGAAGAGATTTTAGGATGTTAGAGACTATTAAACAGCCATACAAAGAACATATCCCTATGAATCGTCAAACTCCAGCTTTTCATAGTATCGAAAGTGCACGGTCAAAACTATTAACCATAAACTACACAAACCCACCAACTTGGGTAATAAGCGCAGCGACAAACAAAATCCAGGGCATTGTTTCCATTCCCTGAGTCGCTGCTTCCATAACCCCTGGTCCTGCATGTCGTCGCCACTCCCATTACCCAGAGTTGAGTTGTCACTCTAAATCCTCCCTCCCATTACCCAGAGTCCCCCTCCCCGCTCCCATTACCCAGAGTCCTCCTCCCCGCTCCCATTACCCAGAGTCCTCCTCCCCGCTCCCATTACCCAGAGTCCTCCTCCCCGCTCCCATTACCCA